CAGCTCTGTTCAGAACCCTCTGTTGTGATCCTGGTCAGAGCAGTCAGTGGTGGTAGCCGGGCACCATCTAGCTGTACTGGACTCAGTCTGGTGGAGGCAATTTCTACATTTTTAAGAATGTAAGAAATTACAAATGTATAGTTACAAGTAACTGCTAAACCCAAGAGCAAAGTGAATGTAACTGATTCAACTATGACAACACAGCAATAAAAGAAAAAAGGTAAGTAGGACCTTGAATATTATCATATGTCCACTTTCAAATACACTCCCTAATTTTGTTTCTCTGATCCTGAAAAACTCCATTTTCGAAGCTAAAAAGACAAGTTACATATAAGACCAAATCGCGTAAACTCAGGAGTAGTAAAATCAGAACAAAGATTCGGGCTTCTTCTTCCCTCTTTGGGCATTCTAATTTAGGATCGTATCTGACCTCCGGGTACTAATATGGATCCCAACGAAAGCGTTTCTGCCATGGAAACTGGGTTATGAGAAATATCTAAAAGTGCAACTAAGAAAGAAGTATTACTTACTGATTTTTTTCTTTAAGGCAGCAGCGTTCAGGGAAAGTCATAAGAAAATGCCTCGGTTCCTAAAAAAACGACAACATCCAGGAGGGCAAAACACTGATGTGTGTTTTTAACCCATGAATGAACTACTCTATCATGTCCCATCATCATCCTCAGTAAATGAGAGGCTGAACTGCCATTCACATTTACCCATCATCCTCCATTATGAAAATTGGTCCTGTGAAAAGGCTGGCATCACCAACAAAAGATTTCTCACTTGTTACGTAAGAGGCAGCCTCAAAGTCTGTGTGTACATTCACACGCATGACTAGCCAGGTACACATACAGGTGTATGCTTCTCCTCGCCTCTTCGCATAGTAGTTTTTCCCTTCAAATCAGTCAAGAGTTTGTGCCCAAGACGATACGTGCACTAAAGGGTATATGAAGATACATGCGTGAGGGAGGGCCCCCCAGTCCTCAAGACAGTTATAATTTACTTGGGGAGATAAGACATATTCACATGAAGAGTTCCCGGTGCCGGTAAAATGGAAAGTTTATCATACTTTCATTAGTAATATGGAGATGTGATCTTCTGAATATTATTTGCACCAATCACAAAGCCTTAATTCAAATAATTTAAGAAAAAAATAAATCCATGCTATTTATTTCAATTATATTAACATACAGTAAGTATACAATAAATAAGAGGATTTATTTTGAGCATGTAAAACGGAGCATACCAGCGGGCATCAGTAGGGAAGATGAGGTGAAATCTTTACTGGCCAGAATATCACATAGACTCAGGAAACGAAATTAGGGAAAAGGAAACCGTTTTTTAATTACCCAAGCAATGGCCATGGCAAAGAAGTGTGGCTTCTCAGGGCTTTCCAAAACCAAGAGGAGTGTCAAGAACAAGCTGCTGGGCTAGGTTCCAGGTTGTAACCCCAACTCGTTCACAATCATACCTCTCTTACCCTCGTTTTCTACCGCAATAGTCAAGGTTTGAACTAGATGATGGCTCATATTCCTTTAATGAACACTTCTGGTAACGCTTTCTTTGATAAATATATCCAGGTCTCCTGTCCTATCCTCTGACCCCTGTGCCCTCCTTCCCTACCCTCCCTAACTAAGCAAACTGTTTTGGTTCTTTTTTTTTTGAGTTTTATATTTTACAGTGCACATCATTAAATTATTCATCGATCTATGACTTTAATTTTTTGTGTTTATACACGGACTTTGCTATGGCAACAGGTTGAAAGAGTAAAATTCTAATTTATATTGCTAAAATTTAGCACTAAACAATTATCAGTTTTTACATTATCTAATCCTATTAACCTAGCCAGATTATTACAGCATATTAATCAGTATCCTTACAAGAAGTTTCAGTGTAGCTGTGATTCACAATGATGAAGATCAGATCAAAAAAGTTATGTATTCATTGCTTTTAGCTGGCTTAAAATTGGCTTAGCTATGCAATAATGAAGAGTATGGAAATATTTAATTTCCTTTTTTATGATAATCCAGTGACAACATCTAAGTAGAACCTTGGTATAAAAAGGCTACATAAAATATTCTTTTAACTGGTAGGTCTTATTAAATCTACAGTGTTTGAGAAGAAAAAAAAATTAAGAGCAGAAGAACTCATAAATATGGGTGGTAATATTGAACAATATCACATTATTTCTATCATCATTTTTTTATGTTGAAAATATTCTTGTTTGGACATCTGAATGTTAGGACAATTGCAGCAATGAATTCAAAATTATCCAATAAAATGCTAAACAATACAAGTTTTCTTCATTCATAAATACTTTTTTGAGTCGTTTCCGTGAAGAGATAAATGAAATCTAAAATGGAAAAAGGAGAACATTCTCAGGCTTCCGTGAAGCTGTGCTATAAGATGAATATTAGGAACAAAAATCAATCAGAGAATTGAGAAGTATGCTGGAAAAGTTTTTCAAATATTATTCTTGCTTGTATGTAGCTCCATTCTCTAGCTTAAAATTTAGCCAATTTTAAAAAGTATTTGTTAAACAGTTCCTGCATGTGGCATATGTTTCTGGGATACTTCTGACTTTGATATGAGCGATTATAAAGCATTTAGAAATAAAAATGTTACTCTCCAACAAAAAACAACACTGTTAAGTTCCAAGCTTCTTCTGAACTCGTAAGATGGAAAAACATTTGGAAAATAGTACCTTTTGGTTTTCAAATCATGTGCTTTAAGAAAACAAAAAAAAGTGCAGTTGTTCAAGGCAAGGGGGAGATGAGTCTAAAGGAAACAAGGTCCTAAAACTTACTCCAGGAGGCATTACTTTTCCTTTGCAGTCTCGGTGCTATTTAATCTGCAGTAAATAAACTATTTTATCCCTTCAGCTGGGACGAATCAGTGTTACCCTAACAAGATGACGACAGTACTACTGCAGTGCTCACCTTGCAAGAAATACATGAATATGAAGTAGCGTCAACCCTTTTGATCAAATGGAGTGTATGCAGGAGTTGATTTGCAATGTATTAATTTAGGAACTCAGCGGAGAGGCTCCTACTATATCTAGCTGATCTAAACTTGAGCTCATGATAACACTGCACAAAGCTATGGTAGATAAAAGTGATAGGTAACGCCAATAGAACAATTCCACTGACAACACAAACTCCTCCAAGAATTCTTCCAGGCACTGTGATAGGATACATATCTCCATAGCCAACTGTAGTCATAGAGATAATCACCCACCAGCAGGCAGCGGGGATGCTGGCGAAGTCCTTGTTGGATGTTTCCAGGTCCAACCCATGTTCAAGAAGCTGAGAAAGTGCACTAAAGATTGCCATGGCAACACAAATGAAGACAAGTAACATAACCATCTCTCGGTAACATCGTTTGAGAGTCAAACCAAGTGTCTGAAGACCAATGAAGTGACGGGCAAGCTTAATCACCCAAAAAATCCTCATCATTCTAAGCACCCTCAAGGTGACTCCAGCCCTCTGGAGTTGAGAGTTCTCGCCCGTAAACACGGTCATTAACACGGAGATGTAATATGGCGTGATTGCCAGTAAATCAATGATGTTCAGGGGTCTCTTGACAAACTCACACTTGTTTTTGGAGACGATGAATCTCACGATGCACTCTGCAGTGAACCAACCTATGCAGATAGCTTCAATTATTCTGTCAAGAGAACAAAAGAAGGATTGATCATTTTATTTTTAAGCATGTTAACAGCTCTTAGATTTCTTCAGACAGTACTATACTGACACACCAATTCAGTTACTTTTCCAGAGAACATAAAAAACAGACAGCATTACCAACATCATCAGACCCACCAGGACACAACAGAACTAAAATATTATCCTTCAAATGAAAATTAACCCTGACATACTTCTTATTTGTATACTCCATGCAATACCATTAAAGTTATTGTTTTTTACTTGTCACAAACACCGAAAAAAAAAATCTCTCTCTTATTTGGTGGTTTGAAATTCACTTATACTTAGCTAGCCACTATATAAAAACGTACTTACTCTTTGAGGACAATGGTTCCCAATGTGATGTCAGTTACAAGGCAGATCAGAAGGACTTTATTCCTACAGGCAATGGACATACCCCAGTTTTTGATGAGTGAACTCAAGATCATTTCCTAAAATGTTACTCTCCCTTCTTTTCCAATAGGCTTAAGTGGGAGACACCAAAGCTGAGCCAGCCCTTGGGCATTGCCGGAGGCCCTCACCAGTGATGCAGCAGGTCGTGACCATCCTCATCAGAAGCGTCAGAGAGGAAAAAATGGCTGAGGACTCCACTAGGATCAAACCAAACCAAATGCTGTCAAGTCGACTGACTCATGACGACCCCATGTGTGCAGAGTAAAACTGTGAACCGGAGGGCTTTCGACGCTGTGATCTTTCGGAAGCAGGTCACCAGGCCTTTTTTCCAAGGTGCCTCTGGATGGGTTTGAACTGTTAACCTTTTAGTCAGCATTTGCACTGCTCAGGGGCTCCTTCTACTAGGACAACCACTACGATTTTCCCAAAGACCCCAGCTACGTTGTTTCCAATAAATATTTTTATGCAGCATGTATTTTTAAAATATAAGACCGTATTTTGCCTACAGCAGTGTTTACAAAGCTTTTCACACCACTGCACACACTGACAATAATCAGATTTACATAGCACACTGGAGTCCCGGGTAGGATTCTTAGAGCAGAAGCCATTGGCCTGGGGGCTTTGGCCACCCTGGCGCTTGCTCTATATCCCCTAAGGCTGAGGCAATCAAATCTTAACGCACAGTTAGGAAGCCCTGCCTGGAATGAGAGGTATTCTGAGGTAACTTCGAATCAATTTAAATTTGACTTGTTGGTCCAAGTCCTTTGCTCACAGGGCCTTTCATGCTTCAAGGTATGCAGGGTGTCACACAATTATTTGACCAAGTCTTTTTTTTTTTTTCCCCTTGAGACTATTTGAAACACAAATTTTGGAAAACGGTTCCAAGGACTTTGCCTATAAACATTTGTTTATAGCAGGTTTTGACAAACTACAGCCCATGGGATGAGTCCTCCTCACCACCAATTTTCTGAAAGTATGCAATCTAAGAATGTTCATTATATTTTTAAATGGTTTAAAAAACACAGAGGGTCCCGGACAGAGTGGGACAAAAGTTGTAGAATAAAATATCAAATTCAGAAAAAAGACCAGTCTTACTGGTCTAACAGAGACTGTAGAAAACCCCGAGTCTATAGCTCTAAGACACCCTTCTGAACGGGAACTGAAGCCATTCCCGGAGACCATCTTTGGCCAAACCACAGACAGGACAATAAAATAAACAATAACATCCGAGAGGAAAATGCTCCTTAGAACAACCAATTGTACAAGACCGAAAGGACAATATTTGCCCAAAAGCAAAGATGGGAGGGCAGGAAGGGACAGAAAATCAAGAGGAAAGGAAATGAGGAACCCCGGGTGGAAATGGGGAGAGAGCTGACACACTGTGAGGAATGCAACCAATGTCATGGAACATTTTATGTACAAACTATCAAATGGGAAACTAATTTGCTCTGTAAACTTTCACCTAATGCACAATAAAAAGTTAAAAAAACAAAAGAAGTTCATCAAAAGGAAGAACACTGTGCATCAAAGGACTTTATTGAGAAAGTGAAGAGACAACCTAAAGAATGGGAGAAAATATTTGGAAGCCATGTCTGATATAAAAAAAAAAACATATTGCTGTCAAGTCGATTCGGACTCATAGCGACCCTTTAGGACAGAGGAGAACTGCCCCATAGGGTTTTCAAGGAGTGGCTGGTGGATTCGAACTGCTGACCTTTCAGTTAACAGCCGAGTTCTTAACCACTGAGCCCCCAGGGCTCCATATATCTGATAAGGGCTTAAGATCAAGAATATTAAAGAATTCCTATAATTCAACAACAAAAAGACAAACAATCCAATAAAAAAATGGGCAATGAGCAAAGGATATGAATAGACATTTCTGCAAAGAAGATATACAAATGACCAATAAGCACATTAAAAGATGTTTAACATCATGAGTCATTAAAAAACCAAACCCCTTGCTGTCAAGTCAATTCCAACTCACAGTGCCTCTACAGGACGGAGTAGAACTGCCCTATAGGGTTTCCAAGGCTGTAAATCTTTACAAAAGCAGACTGCCACATCTTTCTCCTTCAGAGGGAGTGGTGAGTTTGAACTACTGACCTTTTGGTTAGCAGCCGACTGCTTAACCACTGCACCACCAGGTCTCCTCGTTAGTCATTAGGGAAATGCAAATTAAAACCACAATGAGTTAACCATTTCACCCCCACTAGGATGGCTACCATCAGAAAAATAATAACAAGTGTTGGCGAGGAGGTGGAGAAATTGGAATATTCATCCGTTACTGGTAGGAATGTAAAATGTTGCAGCCACTGTGGAAAATTTTAGTGGTGCCTCAAAAAATCAAACATATAGGAGTATGATTTGGTGGGCCTCTCCAGTCAACTGGCCTAATACTGTTTTTAGAATTTCTGTTCTACATTCTAGTTCAGTGAGTAGTGCCTGAGGTCTTGAAAGCTTGCCAGCAGCCGCCTAAGATACAACAATTGGTTTCTGTTCAACTGGAGCAACAGACAAAGAAGGAGACCCAGGAACTGGAGAAGGAAATGGTCTTCAGGTCTAATTGCCTCCATGAACTACTAGCTTCTCTGCCATGAGACCAGAAGTAATGGATAGTGCCTGGCTATCATTACTAAATGTTCTGATCAAGGACGCCAACATGTGGATCTTGATCAAAAGGAGGAAAAACTGTGGAACAGAACTTCAAATTCTCATTGGAAACCAGGCTTACTGGATCCACTGAGACTGGAGGAACCTCCAAATCTATTGCCTGGAAACAACTTTTAAACCTGAACTGAAACTATTCCATGAAGTCATCTTTAAATTAAACAACAATTTAGCTCATTTAATAAAGATTGTGTTGCCTTGCAGCTTGTTTATATAAGGCTAAATGGACAACCGTAACTCTAAAATACAGACGAGAACTTTAAGGGGCAGAGAATCTAAGTTAACAGTGGTGAAACAACATGGGCAGAGATAGGGAGAATGGAGACACATTGTGAAGTAAGTAACCATTGTCAATGAACTATACATGTAAAAGTTGTTGGGAGGGTGTATGTTCTGTTGTGTACATTTTCAGCAAAAAAATTTAAACACACTACTACCATATGACCCAGCAATTCCACTCCTAGGTATATACCCAAAAGAATTGAAAGCAGGGACTCAAACAGATACTTGTACACCAATGTTCACTGCAGCATTACTCACAACAGTCAAAAGGCGGAAACAACCCAAGTGTCCATCAACAAATAAATAAATAAAAAGTGGCATACACATACAGTGGGATGTTATTCAGCCATAAAGGGAGATGAAGTTCTGATACACGCTACAACATGGATGAGCCTTGGAAACAGTATGCTGAGTCAAATAAGTCAGTCACAAAAGGACAAATATTGTATGATCCCACTAATATGAAACATCTAGAATAGGCAAATGCATAAAAACAAAAGTTCATTAGTGATTACGAGGACTCAGGACTGGAGGAAGGAGGCAATGGGGAGTTGTCGTTGAAGGGGTAATGAATTTCTGTTTGGGGAGATGAAAACTTTTGGAAATGGATAGTAGTGATGGTTGTATAACATGGTGAATGTAATTGTTGCTCTTATTGTTGTTAGGTGCCAACGAGTTGGTTCTGACTCATAGCGACCCTATGTACAACAGAACGAAACACTGCCAGTCCTGCACCATCCTCACAATCATTGCTATGTTTGAGCCTATTGTTGCAGCCACTGTGTCAATCTATCTCACTGAGGGTCTCTTTTTCACTGACCCTCTACATTACCAAGTAAGACGTCCTTCTCCAGGGACTGGTCCCTCCTGATAACATGTCCAAACTATGTGAGAAGAAGTCTTTCCATCCTCGTTTCTAAGAAGCATTCTGGCTGTACTTCCTCCAAGACAGACCTGTTTGTTCTTCTGGCAGTCCATGGTATATTCACTACTCTTCGCCAACACCACAGTTCAAACGCATCAACTCTCCTTCAGTGTTCCTTATTAATCTAATTAATGTCACTGAGTTGCACAGTTAAAAATTATTACAATGACAAAAAATAAAAGATTAAAACGACAAACTTTAGTTACATATATTTTACCAAAATAAAATTAAATAACAAGAACAATACAGGAATAACATTTCAGGACACGTGGCAATTAAATGAAATTCAAATTTCAATGGTCATAAACAAAGTTTTATTGGAATACAGCCACAAAATGCACAGTATGACTCCGCAAAGCCTAGTATTTACTACCTTACCGTTTACAGAAAAAGTCTGCTGACCTCTGGTTCCTCAGAATCCGTGAGTTCTCTATAGGAACATTTCTTAACGTGTGCTTTCATTTCAATAACAATCTTTTTTAAAAAAATGCTCGTATAATCACGTTATGAATCATATGGACGAACAAGAATTGCTGTGTGACTCCATGCCCACATTTGTGTCTGTGATGATGAAAACACTAGTGCACAGCAGAATAACTGTAATGGTCTAATAAGAGGAGAAAGGAGCCCTGGTGGCACAGTGGTTAAGCGCTCGGCTGCTAACCAAAAGGTCTGAGGTTCAAACTCACCAGTGG